TGGCTCAAGAGACTTTTTTTTTTTTTTTTTTTTACAGGTTTTTCCCTAGGGTGTATGTACTCAACACAGACAGACAGAAAGATAGAGGGGAAAGTGAGAAATTCCCCTGGGATGGGGCAGGTGGTGCAGTAGTTAATGGTGCTGGACTCCCACATAGCTGACCATGGTTCAAGTCCCAGACCTGGTGGCTCCCTGTCTTACTTTCCCTTTCTTTCTGTCTCTCAGGAGTCAAATAGAAAAATAACAATAAATAAAATCAAACACATAATTTTTAAACAGAGAGAGACCCAGATCTGATTGTCATGTCACTTTTAAGTATTTCTTATGGCCTTTTTTTTTTTAAGAATTATTTTATTTAACTTAATTTAATTTATTTATTTGACCAGAGAGGGACAGCGAGAGAGGGAAAGTGAGAAAGCAGTCACCAGGTGTGGGACTCAAACCATGGTCCAGCCCCCTTGACTACCACACCACTTGCAGGCCCCTCTCAATGCTTTTTATGACTTTGCATAATTGGGCTTCTGCCCTATTCCCCTTTCTCACGTATACTTTTTTATTCTGTGTATTTTAGTGACTTTGGTAGTTTTTCATTGTCTAAACATGCCAAGACCATCTTTGCCATAGGGTAGTCTGAAATGTTCGTTTTACCTAGTTATGTCTACTGGAAGTATTTCTTCCTATTACATCCTCTTTTAAATACTCTCGCAGTGTCCTGCATTTCTTTTCTTTCTGTGTGTGTCTTTAAATTTTTTTTTAGTGTCACTACAGGGTGCTTGTACTCACTATAGAGAGAGAGACATGAGAGCGGGTATGTGTGTGTGTGTGTGTGTGTGTGTGTGTGTGTGTGTGTGAAATCACCCCTGCCCCTTGGGGATAGGCACATTGTAATTCCTTCTCCATTTTACTCATGGGATTTTGGTCATATATGCACACATAAATATTCTCATTTTACAGTGATAAAATTGAGAGATGTTAAGTGACATGGCTGAATTAATACCACAAGTAAGTGGAAGAACTAGGATTCCGCACACATCAATCTGATTCCAAAAGCTGCCTTTTCTAATGCTGTCATCTTTTGCCATTTCCCATATCATTGTTACTGTTCCTGAATCTCTTTTTCTCTTTTTTTGAGAGATTTTTGCAAGAGGGTGTGTGCACTCACCAGAGAGACAGATAGCAAGAAACCACCCCCCCCCATCATGTCCCAGTCCCTTCTTTTCATTTTCCACTTGGGATTTTGGATACACACACACGTGCCCAGCTTGAGTTTTAGGCTATGGGGTCTGGGACTAGAACCATAGTCCACTATGTGGGAGTCCAGTGACGTAATCATTAGGCTATCTACTGATCCCTGTTGTTATTGAATCAATTTTTTATTTTTAAGAATCATTTATCTAAATTTATTTGTTATCATTATTAATTCTTTTTTAATTTTACCAGAGAGAGAGAGAGAGGAAACGTGGGAAAGTGGGCCTGGGACTCAAACCGTGTTTAGCCGTGTGGGAGTCCAGTGCCTCAGCCACCATGCCTCCTGCCGGCCCTGTTCTGAATCTTAAGCTGGGATTTAAAATTAGTTTGTGGGATCAGTGGGAATGGAGTTTTAGATTGTGAAAAAACTGGATGCGTGAAACTGTGGAGACGTGTAAAGGATAATTGTTGCTTATTGAAAAAGTCTTCGATTTAAGTTTCTGTTTTCTTTTAATCTTTAGTGAACTCTGAATAAAGACCATGCTCTAGTCAATGTAAAATGTGTCTTCATAATGGGATTTCTTATGGTGATGGTGTTTTCTTGAGCCAGTTTAGTCCATTTTTAAAAATACACTAGTAGTGTATTTCAGTAGAGTGAGAAAAAGATCTGTTTTGGGAATTTTAACTTGAGGGTTATACGGACAAAAGTAAGGGCAGGGGGGAACCAGCAGATAGCGTAATGGCTATGTCGCTGGACTCCCACGTAGTCAACCGCGGTTCGTGTCCCGGACCCGGTGGCTTAAAACTCACGCTGGGCGTGTGTGCGTGCGTGCCCAAGATCCCAAGAGGAGAATGGAGGAGAAGGGATTGCGGCGTGACCATCCCCCCTGGGGGGTGATTTCTCGCTTTCTATCTCTATGTCTCTGTCTGTCTGGCGAGCGCACGCGCCCTACAGTGAAAATCTCTCCAAAAAAAAAAAAAGTAAGGGCAGGGGAGCTGGCCCTTGTAGCCTAGTGGTTAAGGGCAGTCAGGTACCACATGGCTGACCACTGAAGCTCATTTGGAACATGCTAGACACATGTGCATTCCCCAAAGCATCAATACTCTTTTTTTTTTTTTTTGGAGAGGTTTTCGCTATAGGGCGCATGTGCTCGCCAGACAGACAGAGAGAGACATAGAGACAGAAAGCGAGAAATCACCCCCCCAGGGGGATGGTCACACTGCAATCCCTTCTCCTTCATTCTCCTCTCGGGATCTTGGGCACGCATGCACACGCGCCCGGCGTGAGTTTAAGCCACCGGGTCCGGGACGCGAACCGAGGTCAACTACGTGGGAGTCCAGCGACATAGCCATTACGCTAACTGCTGGTTCCCTCGATACTCTTGTTTTATTTAAAAATCTTAGAGTGAGGGACCAGCAGATGGCATAATGATTCCATTGCTGGACTCCCACATGGTTTGAGTCATGGACCTGGCAGCTTAAAACTCACTCCGGGCTTGGGAACCAGGAGTTAGCGTAATGACTATGTCGCTGGATTCCCACGTAGTCGACTGCGGTTCGTGTCCCGGACCTGGTGGCTTAAGACTCAGGCCAGGCGAATGTGCTTGCGTGCCTAAGATCCCGATAGGAGAATGGAGCAGAAGGGATTGTGGCGTGACCATCCCCTCTGGAGGGTGATTTCTCACTTTCTGTCTCTATGTCTCTCTGTCTGGCGAGTGCTCGCGCCCTATAGTGAAAACCTCTTAAAAAAAACAAAACAAAAACAAAAAAACTCACACTGAACTTGTGTGCGTGCGTGCCCAAGATCCCAAGAGGAGAAAGGAGAAGGGATTGTGGCGTGACCATCCCCTCTGGAGGGTGATTTCTCACTTTCTGTCTCTCTGTCTCTCCAGCAAGTGCAAGTACCCTATAGCAAAGATCTCTCAAAAAAAAACTTCGGGTGAGAAAAGGAAGTCTAGTTCTTCATATGGCCTCTTAAATTGTTCAGTGAAAGTTTGATGCCTTCAACATTCTTTTCTCTTTCTCTTTTTTTTTTTTTGGAGGGGGGTCGTTTAACGACTGAGTCTCGCTATGTCACTATTTTCCTGCCTCAGCCTTCTCTGTGTGACTGAGCCCACAGGCGTGCACCACCATGCCCGACTCTTTAACAGGGTCTCACTGGCCATTGAATCACCAGCCTCCTACCTCAGTCTTCTTGTCATCGGGAATAGAATCTGGGCATGCTGTGTAGTAGTATTAGCCAGCATAATACGGTGTCTGGGTTGTCCGATTTTCTTTTTAAAATTTGCTCTTGTACGTACTGGACAAATTATTTTTACTGTAGCTAAAGTGTACATTTAGTGCTCTACCACAAATACCAAGAATGTTAATGATATTTTAAGGTTCAGAAAGAAGTTTATCATGCATAAACTATATTTTTGGACAAAAATATTTTCAGAAAAAATACCAAGTACTTTAATCTCGGACATAAAAAAGGTTATAAAATAAACCAGTACTCGTTAAAATATTTTTTAATGTGTGAAAGTAAGTTTTTTAATCCCATGCTTATTAAAACATAAGCTTAATTAAGAGTCAAGACATTTTGGGTTTAAGGTGTATATTGTTTTTGTTCTAAACATTCTGAAGTGGAAATATTTAGTATAGAGAAAGAGTAAAAGCCATATCATTTGTTGGGGGTGGAAGAGAGACACTGAAGACCTTAAAATAGTTATTCTTACACTGTTCTGTCCAGTAAACAAGTTTAAGAAAATGGATCCAAAAGCAAATAAAATTTACTCTTGCAATCTTGTGTTTCTTTTCTAAGGACATGTTGTATCAATTAGGTACAGGTATGAGTTCCTAATCAAAAATGAAACTAAGTCTTTTTTATTAGGCATGTATGTGTAAAACATTGGAGAGCCAGGAAGGACTTACCATATCACGAGTGTAGGTAGTATACTAGTCGTGGTGTAAACAGTAGTATAGGTTTGCCAGTATGAGCGGACAGTTCACTTGCTTGCAGGTACTCATTAATGTGAATCCTATTGGGTGGCTTTCTTAATTATTTAAGGTCACCATGACCCTGAGAATACACTAATGTGATTAAGAGACTCAAATACTAACAGAAGATATGAACATACTTGAAGTATGAAGTATAAAATAAGTAGGGGGTAGATAAATTTAAAGTTAAAAACTTGTCTTGGAAAAATTGTTTTGTTTGCCGTAACAAACTGAATAAAGCATTAAAAAAATTCTAGTAAGGCATTTAGACTCAGAATTTCCATGGAAAGGAGAATTAATTAGCTGCCTGAAGCCTTTACTATCCTGGTGGATGGTGTACAATTTCATGTACAGTTGTTGTGATTAATCAGTTCAAGTGAGAATTAATGGCCTAAGTGGCTTTTAATACATTAGACTCTGAATTTTCTGTTTATATCGATAGAAACTAAGTAGCCTGGGGATGTGGAATCTGATCATTCATCTACAGATGAATAGATTTATCACTTTGAACCTAACATATATGGAATCAGCAAACATATGTTGTCTACTATTTTTCTATTTAAAAATAACATTCCCATAAGGTCAACAAGCCATTGTACCATCGTGGTGGTATTTTATTTTAAAAATTGAGGTTGAAATTTCTTAGTTTATTCTTTGTTTCAAATATTCTTAAAACTGGCTAAGTCTTAGAAAAGCACAGACTATTATTTTTAGTAGAGCAGATCATTAAGCTTATGAAAAGGGGATTTCAAAATTTTTTATAGGTGATATTTTAAAATAGGCTTTTTTTTCTTGCTGACATAACTAACATATATTTTCTGTTTATTTTTAAGACGAGCAAAAATCAAATTAAAGTAGATCTTGTAGATGAGAATTTTACAGAATTAAGAGGAGAAATAGCAGGACCTCCAGACACACCATATGAAGGCAAGTACTTTTTTCTGTATCAAAATCTTGTGCGTGTTAGAGCTTTTCTGAGACATGAAATTGAAATAATCTTAAGCATCTATAAGCTACATGGAAGGTAACTTCATTTTGCTAAGTCTATATAGCAGTTTTTAAATAATAAATGTAGGTATTCATCTAGGCTGATTTTTCTTACTGAATTTTAGCTAATTTTTTTCTTTCCCCAAAACAGATTTAACAGAGCCAAGTTACAGGTTTATGTAGGTTAGAATTTAACAAAACATGTAGCATGTTAAGTCAAGTCTCTAACTTCTATATGGACCATAGATTCTCAGTTATCCTTCATATGGTACTGTACCAAGCCTTGTCCTGAAGTTCTGACTGATAAAATATTGTTTTTGTCTTTAAAGCTTTTCTCTCATTTGCCATTTGGCATCTCATTCACTCATAATTCTTCATACAAGCTCTAGTCCAAATATTTAGTTGTCTTTACTGATGAATGTTTTGAGTGATCATTTCAAGACACAGGAAACAAAGGCAGCTTTACTGAACTTCATTTTCACAAATTCAGTCTATAACATACTTTAGGTCATGGAGCGGGTGGTAAAATAAAGATTAGTGCTTCTTAATGTTTTACTTTCACATTAGCCAACTCTTCATTGATAAATATTGTAAATTTGGGTTCAAGATTCTTGCATGTAAGAGGCATTCAGATACTTGTTTAATAGCATAAAACAGTATGTGGTAGTACTTACTTATAAGGACTTTATATGTATTTTATAATCTTTAAATATATGAGGTAAGTACTATTATCTGTTTTATAGAAGAAGAAATTTAAGCTTAGAAGTTAAGTAACTTGTCAATGGTCAGACATCTAAGTAGCACAGCTGGGATTTGAGTCCTTGTAGCCTTTGACTTCAAAACCAGTGATTTTTAATGACTTTCCTTTTGAGTAAATCAGCACTGGCTGAATATTGGAAGTGGTGGTTTTATCTACTTTGAATGTAGTGGCTGTACCATGAAGTTAACCCAGAACGTTTCAGAAAAGTCTAATATTCTTGAATGTATTTCTGTTTTCATTCAAATTTCTAAAGACAAGATGTCTTTAGCATATTATACCAATTCTTAAGTGATGAATTTTTATTTTCTGTTTTATCATTTTATTTCTTATTATTATGTACCTCCCATAAGCCAGACTTGGTCTGAATGCTTCCATGGATGCTATTTCATTTAGTCCTTTTTACAATCATTAAATGTAGAAGAGACCTCTAATTATCTTATTTAAAAATCAAGTGGAACTGGCCTCAGTGGCTTGAAAAACATTCCAGGTGCACATGTGCCCCAAATCCAGACAGAATGGAGAAATGAAAGAGAAGGAATTAAGATGTAACCCCCACCCCCTGAATAATTTCTTCCTCTCCCTTTCTTTTTCTTTTTCTTTCTTCCCTTCCTTTTTATGTTTTTGTTTGCTATAAAGGAGTGTGCACTTGCCAAAGAGAGACAAAAAGAGAAAATGAGAAATCACACCGCATGGAGGATGACCATGCTGCAGTCCTGCTCATCTAGTCTCCTCTTTGGATTTGGTCATGCACACATGCCTGGCATGTTTTTCAAGCCACCTGGCCTGGGACTCAAAAGTTAGCTGTGTTAGATCCAGCCACCTTAGCCACCATGCCACCTGGTTGACCCATCTTCCTCTCCCTTCCTCTGTCTCTCTTTGGTGAGCACATGCGTCATCGTCTTGTAAATAAAAATATAAAACATTTAATAACTTTTTTTTTCTTTTTTGGAAATGTTTTTGCTATAGGGCGTGTACGCTCACCAGAAAGACAGAGACAGGAAGACAGAAAGCGAGAAATCACCCCCCCGGGGGGGATGGCCACAGCACAATCCCTACTCCTCCATTCTCCTCTCGGGATCTTGGGCACGCACTCACACACACCCAGCATGAGTTTAAACCACCGTGTCCAGGACTTGAACTGCGGTCGACTACATGGGAGTCTAGCGACATAGCCATTACGCCAACTGCTGGTTCCTTAACATTTTTTTAAGAGAGATTTTTGCTATAGGGTACATGTGCTTGCTGGAGAGACAGAGACAGAAAGCAAAAAACCACCCACCCTGGGGAGGGGGTGAGGGGGCTTGGCCACACCACAGTTTTTTCTCTTCCATTGTCCTTTCAGGATTTTGGGCAAGCACGCACTTGCACCTGGTGTGAGTTTTAAGCTGTCAGGTCTGGGACTCGAACTGCAGTCTACCACGTGAGAGTCCAGTGATGTAACCACTACATCATATGCTCTACTGGTCCCAAATATTTAATACAAATTTTAAAAATCTAGTAATTAGTAGCAGGTTTTTTTTTTTTTTTTTTTTTAAAGTTTACTGTAGAGCACATGCAATTGCCAGAGACAAAGAGAAAGAGATAACAGGAGGGGGGGAAAAGAAGGATGCTTTTTTGGAATATGACTATGGGTAAAATATTATTATTATATTTATTGCAAGATCTTACTATTTAAAAAATTTCAAATAATCCAATCTGAAAAGCTAATATGAAAGCTTACATGTAGAACATCAAACCATAACCACTGTTAAGTAACAAGATTATTTTATGTCGTGTTAAAAGTAATCAATAGAATACCCACGAAAAATCACCATGTTGTACTTGTTGCTTAACTTAGTTCTTCATTTGCCTTAATAACTGTAACAATTTAGTTTCTGACTATATTCTTTGAAGTTTTTATAAATGTAGAACCATTGAGAATTTAAAAATTCTTAATCTCCACTGGATTAAGCTAAAGATTCTAAATTTTCAGTATTAAAAGCTATTCTTTCAGAAGTCAGTGTTTTATAATGAAAGCTGTTATAATTTGAATAATGTAGTTATAAAAATCCCTTAGTTATTTTATTCTGATCAAATAATGCTATCTATAGTGGTTATATATTAAAAACTCACACAGGACAGAGCATATAATGTTTGGAGTAGAATTAAGATTTGGGGAACTCAGAAAAGTAACAGATGTAATTAAATAAATAAATAGATAATAATAATTTTTTATAAGGAAAGATTTGGGGAACTCTAGGGTCCAGCATTATTTATAAAGTATCTCCAAACTCGTATACACTTGTAAAAGATCTATTTGGACATTTGAGAATAAAGAATTTTGTATGAAGATAGAAATTCTAGGGACCAGCAGTTGGCGTAATGGCTATGTCGCTGGACTCCCACGTAGTCGACCGCGGTTGGCATCCCGGACCTGATGGCTTAAACTCACGCCAGGCACGTGTGCGTGCGTGCCCAAGATCCCGAGGAGAATGGAGGAGAAGGGATTGCGGCGTGGCCGCCCCCCTGGGGTGTGATTTCTCGCTTTCTGTCTCTCTGTCTTTGTCTGTCTGGCGAGCTCACGCACCCTATAGTAAAAAAAACTTCTCAAAAAAAAAAAAAGAAATTCTAGCAAGATAGAAATTTGGAATTTAATCAGATAAAGAAGTGAGAATCTTAGGAAGGAAAAGTAAGTATTTTGAATTATGGAAACTAAATTTACTATCCCTACATTTGAAGCTAGCATCTATAATTCTGAACATAAACAGTTACAGCTATATTCACAGAATTTCCTCAGGTGCTCTTCTCGTCTTTTTTGTTCTTTTGTGTTCATTACCACCCCCCTTCCTTCCCCCATATTTCACTGCCGTATGTGTTCTGTGGTTCACAAACCTAGTTCAGCTCATGCGTCAATCACTCTGTAGGAATCTTAAAAACATTTAGCAAGAAAAGACGAATTAGAATCCAAAAGGGCTTGGAGAAACTGCCATGCTCTTTTATTTTTTCTCATCATCTGTTTATAATAATGAAGGAGGGACATACTTGAAAGAGTCCAGAAGATACTGAGAAAGTCCCCGGTTTGACTTTTTTTAGGAGCTGAATTATAAAATTTGGAAGTTAATGATACTTCTAGCACATAGCTTTGGCATTTGGTTTACTTTTTCCGTTTTTTTTTTTTTTTTTTAAGGTTTTGCTGTAGGGCATGTGTGTTTAGGGTGGCAGTGAGAAATCAACCCCCAGGAGGGATGACCATGCCATTATCCTCTCAAGATTTTGGGCATGTACGCACACGTGCTTGTTGTGATTCTTTTTCTGTTTTTGACAGAGTTTTGTTATAGAGCATGTGTGCTCATTGGAGAGATAAAAAGGAAGTGAGAAATCAGGGGAGATGGCCATGCTGTGGTCTCTTCTCCATTCTCCTCTTGAGAATTCGGGCATGCATGCACATGCACCTGATGTGAATTTCAAGCTGCCAGGCCCATCTCCGGTGTGATTTTTTTTTTTTTTAGACCTATCTGTTCAATTTTTATTTATTATTTTTTAAATTTGATCAGAGAGAGAGGAAGATTGAGAAAGAAGGCCACCAGGTCCAGGAATTGAGTCGTGGTCAGCTACGTGGGAGTCTAGCACCTCAACCACCACGCCACCTGCACCTGCAAACCATGAAGCAAACCTTGTGAGATCTAGTTATCATTCGTGCCTCCTGCTGGCCTGGTTTTAGTTTACTTTTTATTATGGAATACTTCAGATATGTACAAAAGAATAGTATAATGAATTTTCCTTGTATTTATCTGCTGACTTAAATAACTGTAGTCATATCTAGTCTTTGATCTAACTTATCCCTTGTTTTAAATCAGAATCACAATGTTTAATAATGTAAGTATTTCAGTAGCACAGTCTTATTTGCTCCATATTGCATTAGTGAGTATTCTATGTTTTTTTAATCTTTTTTTTTTTAGAGGTTTTTGCTATAAGGGTGCGTGTGCTTACCAGAGAGACAGAAAGCAAGAAATCACCCCCCAAGGGGGATGGCCATGCTGCAGTCCCTTCTCCTCCATTCTCCTCTCGGGATCTTGGGCACGCACGCACACGCACCTGGCGTGATCTTTAAGCCACCGGGTTCAGGACTCGAACCTTGGTCGACTACATGGGGGTCCAGCGACATAGCCATTACACCAACTGCTGGTCCCGAGTATCCTATGTTGCTAAGGCATAAAATCTTAGATATAGGAGGTTCTCCATAGTGTTAAGATTTGAATTCAGTATCTAATCCAGTATAGAAGTTCCCTTTTCAGATTTTCCTGAGAGCCGGTCTTCCTCCCTTGAAATATCTAGTTGTAGAAAGCTAACTCCGCTTTTAAAAAGTACCTACTTAGGTGTTAGTTACTCAAAACAACTTGAAAGAAAAAAAACAGTCTTGTATTTTTGGATTACTGGGCAGAACAACTTCTTTTTGAGGTTTTGTATCTTATATATAGCCATTTAAACGAAGATAATAGATTTTTTGTTTTTATGCCTATCTTACATCTTCTCAAATTATATTTTAATTTATTTTTGCTGGATGGTGTGTGCGCTAACCAGAGACAAAAGGAAAGAGAAGTGGAAGGACGTCCTATGGAGAACAAGTTCATATTGCAATCTCTTCTCCTCCTCTTGTCTCTTTGGGGTTTTCGGCATATGCACACCCACGCCTGGTATGCTTTTCAAGCCACAAGGTTTAGGACTCTAATCATGTGGTCGGCCATAAGGGACCTGGTTGCTCCAAACCATACCTTGGTGCTGGTCTGTTTTAAAAAAAATTTTTTTTATTAAGTGTTGGCATTTAATTTAGGGCAAAAGTTAAAAGATTGGGACATTTTTACATTTGAGAGAACCAGCTAGAAGTAGATTGTCCAGTTTATGGCATAATCTATTAGCATATCCTTTACTCCATCCGTGCCTTTATACCTCATTGCTTTCTTTCTTCCTTTTTCTTTTCTCATTTTCTTTCCATTTTTCCCTGTTAAGTAGCATCTATTAGCAGAGTAGACATGAAGAAGCAAAAGGAAAGGAAACGGAACCTAGTTAATTGTCTGAAATCTTTGGTTGGCTTTGGAGTGTCAGTGGATTTAATATCTTCATCTGTCTCCAGCCCCTTTACTCACTGAGAAAGTGTTGATAATACAGTCCTACAAAATGGGAATTCTCTGTTATAAATTGCTCTTAAGTTAAAAACTTGTGCTTTTTGATTATTTTCTTTTTGAGTTACAGCTTTAAAATTTGTTCTAACCAAATATAAAATAATAGATGTTTAGAAAAGTTATGTAAGTGTATGTAACTTCACATTCTTGAAGTGAACAAAGTTTTTAACACTTTGTTTTTCCCATTTCAGGAGGAAGATATCAACTAGAGATAAAAATACCAGAAACATATCCATTTAATCCCCCTAAGGTATTGTAAACCCGTTTGTGTGCATGAACTTTTACAATATTTTATACTTCCCTGTTCGTTTAATATTTATCTTAGTGCTTATCACAGTTACAGCTTGATGAATTGTTTACTGTGTAAATTTAATGTGGGCAAGATTTTGGGTCAGGGCAGACGGCTTGTTTTCAAAGCTGATATGAAAAGCACTCCAAGTCAGCACTCTTAGCCAATAATGGCCTACGACTGGCATAAGAGTTATGTCTCACAATGTTTCAAATGCTAGGTCTGGAAAAACGGAAATGTTCCCAGGTTTGTTTGTTTTATTTTTGAGAGCTTTTTTTTTTTTTTTTTTTTTTTTTTTTTTTTTTAACCAGAAAAGTCATGATGTATTTTCTTTTTTTAATATTTTTTGAGGTTTTTTTTTTTTTTTTTTTTTTTTTTTTTTTTTTTTTAACCATAGGGCACATGCACTTGCCAGAGAGACAGAGAAATTAGCTCCCAGGAGAAATGGCCATGCTGCAGTCCCTTCTCTCTGGATTCTGGACATGTGCACACACGCTCAGCGTGACTTTAAAGCTGCCAGGTCCCAGATTGGCCATGTTCCCAGCTTCTTCACCACACCACTTGTTGGCCCTGTGTTTCCAAATCTTAAGCGTTCTTACACACATCATGATAGGTTCTTCTTTTCTTCAAAGACATATATGTTTTTTTTAGAAAACTATTCTGCATCCATTCCAAAATTGCAGAAGAATATAGCAATAAATAAACAGGACAAACTGTCCCTGTTTCATTGAGCTTACATTCTAGCAGGTTAGAAGCTAATGCAAGAAATTATAACTGTGATGTATGTTGTAACAAGGGAATAGAGTACCTTAGTATAACAGGGACCTAGCTGAAACTTACTTTTTGGCTGAACTGTTTACTTTTTGTCTCTTCTTTGTTGTTATTTGGGCATTTAACTTTATTGCTTCCTTATTTGATCTAATAGTCCTCCATTTTTATTGTTTGTATTCATTCTTTGCTCTGCTGTTCCATAAATCTTCTAAAGTGCAGTTTTGGTCCCGATTTTATTTCTTTTTTAATAAAATCTAAACTTAGCTTGGCATTTAAAACCTCCTACACTCTGACCTCAGTCTTCTTTTCCACACTAATTATGTACTTCTACTCAGAACAAGAGCCTCATTTTAGAGCCTAGATTATTATTTATAGATGATGCTTATTCTTCCACACATTTCTATTTTCTCCTTTGTTCTTATTATTTATGATTCTAATTTTTTTTGTTAAGAATTAGTTTACTTATTAATTCATTTAATTTGAGCAAAGACACATAGAGTGCATGAAAAAGCAAGATCCTAGGTTCAGGACTCGAACTATGGTTGGCCATGTGGGAGTGTCTAGTGCCTCAAGGATTATGCCACCAACTGGTCCCGAGATTCTGATTTTCTTTTGAGGTTTATCCAGAAAGTATGACTTTCTTCATTAAGTTATATGCTTCAGATGTCCCTCTTTTTACTCTCCTGGTAGCATTTTTTTTTTTTTTACAGTTTATATAGGACCAACACAATTATAGTACCAATTCATGTATTATTTTTGAGTATGTCTCTTTCACTAGCTATTATGTTCTTGGGTCAGGGACCATGTCTTATATACCTCTGTGCTATCTTCAGCTTCTAATAATATAGTGTCCCTTGTGTATATGATAGCAGTCACTTGAGCCAGCCATGGTTAAGGTGGCTGAATTCCACATGGAGAGCTGCATGTTTGAGTCCTGGACCGGGAAGCTTGAAAGCACACTGGGTGTGTGCACATGTGTGCTCACCCAAAATCCTGAAAGGAGAAAGAAATGAAGGAGAAAGCTTTATGGTGTGAACATTGTCCTTTTTTGAGGGTCAGGGTGACTTCTTAACACTCCACCCCCACAATCCCAATTTCACACACCGTGTGGTAAAATTTTTTTAAAAAATTGATAGAGGCCACTTAAGAATGTTCTGTGATTTATTCCTTTAATCTATCGGTTGTTCTCATTTAACAGTAGATGTGTTAATGAATGTCTAGGATAAATTTGAATCACCTGCTTAGTGTGGGTTACCTATTCTGTTGCTTATGTACATCTATTTTGAATTTTTCAAGTAAGTTATTTTTTTGAGAGAGTAAGGAAGAGATGGAAAGGAGAAAGAGAACATCATGATCCTCCATAAGTTCCAGCCAACCAGTATCCAAGCTGTGGATGCGTGTGCTAGTCCAGCTCAGGCTAACCTGGGTCTACACCCAGGCCTCCATGTGGCCCTGGTATTGGGCTCAGTGGTTTCTTTGGGTTTTGTTTTTTTTAGAGAGAGGTTTTTGCTGTAGGGTGCGTGCACTTGCTGGGTAGAGACAGAAAGTGAGAACACATCTCCCAGGGAGGATGGCCACACCACAGTCACTTTTCCATTGTCCTCCTGGGATCTTGGGCATGCACGCATGCACGCCTGGAGTGATTTTGAAGCCACCGGGTCTGGGGCTTAAACCATGGTCAGCTATGTGGGAGTCCAGCGAAGTATTCGCTATGTCATGTGCTGTCCCAGACTCAGTGTTTTTTATTGTGACTAATACACATGACATAAAATTTTACATTTTAACCATTTTTAGTTATGTAGTTCAGTGGCATTAAATATATTCAGTGTTGTGCAGCTTTGACCACCATCCATCTTGAAAAATTTTAACCTTCCTAAATGGAAATTCTACCTAATAAACAATAACTCTCCATTACTCCCTGCTTCTGTCTTCTGGTAATCATTGTTCTGTTTTCTATTCATATAAATTTTACTTTACTACTCTATGTCAAATAAATGGAATCATAAAGTATTTATTCTTTTATGTCTGGTTCATTTAACTTGTCATACGTAATGTCATGGTTCATCCATGTTATTATAACAGGTGTCAGAATTTTCTCTTTCCTTTTTTTTTAATTGCCTGTGGGTACATACATGGTGTGTGTGAGAAAGAGAGAGGACCCCTCAACCCCCCCAATGAGGTGTGGCTATGCTTCAGTCTTTTTTTTTTTCCTCCATTTTTCCATCGTGTCTGGATCCTGGGCATGTAGGCATATGTGTCTGGTGTTTGTCACACTGCTGGGGCCAGGATTTGAACAATGGCTTAGCCATGTGGAATTCAGCCCCCTATGTATAGTGTTTAACTACTGTATTGTAGGATCAGCCCAGAACTTTCTTCTTCTTCTTTGCTTTTTAAAGAGGTATTTAGTGAATTTACTCAAAAGAAGGAAGTTTAAATGATAAATAAAAAATATTATAAATCTATGTACAGTAAAAAGTGAACATAAATTAGCTAACTCCATGGACATTTCCAGTTAAACATTCATACAATATGGTCACCTCTCTCACGTTTTAAAAATGATATGGAATAGGGGCTGTCAGGGGATATGGTGGTTAAAGGCACTGGACTCCCACATTACTGACTACAGTTTGAGTCCTGGACCTGGCAGCTTGCTTTTTCACTTTCCCTTTCTCTCTCTGTCTAGTAAACTTAAAAAATAATAATGACAAATGGAATTAAATAAATGAATAAATAAATTATTTTTGAAAAATGGTGTGGAATAGTTTCAACATTAAAAAAAAAATTATTTTCCTGGGACCAGCAGTTAGTGTAATGGGCACATCGCTGAATTTCCATGTAGTCGACCATGGTTCAAGTGGACCAGTGACTTAAACTCACGCTGGACACGTGTATGTGAATGTGTCCAAGATTCTAAGAGAATGGAGGAGAAGGGATTGCAGCGTGGCCATAACTCCTGGGAGTTGATTTATCGCTTTCTGTCTGTCTCGGACTTTTAGGCGAGCACACATGCTCTATAGCAAAGACCTCTCAAAACTTATTTTTTGTATTTTCCTTTCCTTCTGAGAGGAAGAATGGAGCAGAAGGGATTCTGGTGTGGCCATCCCCCTGGAGGGTGATTTCTTGCTTTCCGTCTCTCTGTCTGTCTCTGTCTTTCTGGTGAGCGCATGTGCTCTAGAGCAAAGACCTCTCCAAAAAAAGTCCCTCTCACTGTCTGTCTCTCTGGTGAGCAACCTATAGCAAAAAAAAACTAATTAAAAAAATCGAAGAATAATTACTTTTATGGAATTAATCCATGATAAAGAGCTATATTACAGTAATTCTGTGAGACTTTTTAATACTCTTAAAAATAATTATTTAATTTTATTCATCATCATTATTTTTTAAATTCGACACAGAGAGAAAGAGAGAGAAAGAAAGTGATAAAACAAGCCTGCCAGATCTGAGAATTTGAATCATGGTCAGTCCCGTGGGAGTCCAGTGCCTTAACCACCAACCATCACGCCCCCTGCTGGCCCCTATTTTTACACTTTTTACATCTTGAAATCAGGATACCTCTTTAGTGAATGGCATGTCAAAATTTAGTTGGCAGAGGTATTTATTTATTTTCAAAGAATTATTTTATTTAACTTTATTTACTAATTTTTAATATGATCAGAGCGGGACAGAGCGAGAGAGAACAAGAGAGAGAGAGAGAGAGAGGGACAGTGAGAAAGCGTGGTGACAGGGGGCCGGCAGGGGGCATGGTGGAGGGGCGCCGGGCGCCCCCGGCCGGCAGGTGGCATGGTGATGGGGCGCTGGACTCCTACATGGCCGACTGTGGTTCGAGTACTGGACCTGGTGGCTTGCATTCTCACTTCCCCCCTCTCTCTTGCTCTGTCCTTCTCTGGTCAAATTAAAATAAATAAATAAATAAAGTTAAACAAAATAATTCTTAAAAAAAAAAAGAAAGAAATAAAACATGCCGACAGGTCTGGGACTCAAACTGTGGTTGGCTATGTGGGAGTCCAGTGCCCTTAACCACCATGCCGCCTGCCAGCCTCCAGATGTCAGTTATTTTCCCAAGGGAACTTAAAATAATGGCATTTTGAATACTCCCTTGTGTCTGAGATTTAATGAAATGAAACAGAACCGAGTTTGGCACAGACTAATCATGGCCAGTGTTTGCGAGCGTTAACCAGTAGCTGCCACCC